TTACATGATTGTGGTAAGGTGATCGATTGTATCGGTGNCCGTATCACGACAGACTGGTGTACGAAACTAGTCTGATGACATACAATTGAAAATCGGATTGGTCGGTGCGTGACAACCATCCACATACCGTTTGCTAAATATGTTGCCACCGGTAAAATACAGTTCGGCTTAATAAAGACTTTACATAATTGGCGTATCTTCTCTCGATTTTCCGTAAACAAGGCAACTATACAGAGTTGTGACAAATTAATAGGGTAGATAGGACTTGTAATTTGGCAAAATCCAGCCAATGGGTCTGAACATTTAGTGAATTCGTCAGAATCTAGAATTGCATATTTTGTTCTATCAGTATTAACTGCGATGACCTCAGCCTCGAGCCGATATGAGGCTACCATTTTAAAGGTCGCTTTAGACTTCGATAAAATTAATTTGTTCGTCATAGGTAATGGTAAATGATGAATTTTATAAATTTCAAATACGCGATCGGAATCTAATAAGGGTATATTCAACACAACAATGATCTCATTATTTTCGATTATCGTAACACAGTTTAAAATTCGATAGTAATGCCAAAGGTTTTTCTTAGGATTTGAAGGAAGTCTTACACTTGGAGGTAAGTGGGATTGAATTTCGATTAATAGTCTGCGGAGACTTCCGGGAGTCAATACACTTGGGGACAAATGTCCTAAGGAAAGCATGTTAAGTTGAAGTTTGATTTCCGATGCGTACATCTCTGCTCTAAGATACATGTTTTTGAGGTCATCGAGAACTAATTTCATTCTTAAATAAAGATGGAGAAATCCCTCTAAACTTACTAGTTTCTTTTTAAATTGCCGAACTACGTTTTTTATCTTGATATCCAAGTTTCGTAAACTATCTGATAGTAAATTAACTTGTTGCCTATTTTCTGAAATATGTAAGCGTGATACATTTAATATAGACAAACTTTCAGCAACTACATGTTGAATAGCTTGTTGGTTATTAGCTAGCTTATCGATATTACTTCTAATGACATTTAAATCATCGGTACTGACAGTACCGAACAACCAACTTAATGCTTTTCCTACAAATGGAATAAGTGCTCTTCTTGGCCTAGCATGTTTCATGGACAGTGCTCTATAGTCTTGCACACCATCCAGTAGATCTTCTATTTCATCTCGAAGAGTTATTACCTCTATTTTTAGTTTGCTAAACGTATTTTCGTATTCTAAGCTATTGTTCCCTGTAGAATAATTTGTCATAATTTCATCTACAGTGAGTAGAGTGCGTCCTATGTCGGTAGCAAGGTCACTGGTGAACTTCATAAACGGAGTTATATCATGGACCAGGGTCAAGCGCCATTTGGACCGACTTGTGGATACCTGATGTACTGGTCGAAAGAGTACATTCTGAGAAACCTTGGTTGCCGCAGTGATACCATAAACAGGTAATAATAATAACCAAATACAACGCATTCTTTCTGAAAAATAATGGACCATTTACTTTAAAACAACAACAACTACAACAAAATTATAATTAATTTTAGTTACATGTGGACACAAATCATGATAAGCGTTAGATATCTACGCCTTAATTAGGTAAATCTTGTTTTGTTCCCATCATTTTCGATACACGATATACTCGTTATTGTATCCATAATGATAATTAGGTTATTTGACCGCAATAGTAATTTGTATGGCCCAAGGCAGTATATCGATATAAGATCAGAGAAGGCGCCTTTCTCATCACTCACAACACACACACCTGATTGGACCATAAATTACTCATCCGATACATCACCTGACGACGATTTACTTTCTACATTACTGTCGTCGATAACATCGTTATCTTGTGCTCTTATCCT